AAGATATTGGGAAGCTCACATAATCTCCAAGGAGACTGGAAAGAGGGGAGGAACCAAAGGGGGCCAGTGGCAGCCAGGAACACAGTCAAATCTCACCACAGGAACCATCTATTTCATGAGGACGCCATCATTATTCATAGAAAGCAAACACTGCTTCATCATCTGATGGCCTGCCTTTGCCATTACCGTCACTTCTTTGCATTCCTGACTCCAGATTCAAAATAATGGGTGGCTGATAGGGTAGTAAAATGAAGATTTACTACACAGAAATCAACATTACTCTTGCCTGTCATTATAAGACAATAATGACCATCATCTCAACACAAAGGATGTAAGATCTTTTTGCAAGATCCTAACCACATAACGTGATATGACAAAGCCACAACAATCGAGGAGGCTTGCAATATATTTAATTTCCTACAGGATTAATAGTACATGTCAATCAGCAGTCAATGGGCAGTAGTTCCCTTTTTACATAAAATGCAATTCTTGATGTAGGTAATTCACCAGGCTTTAGGATGTGATTACATAAAATAAAAAGAATAAGTTATCATATTGATGAATGGAAACATGTTGTAGCTGAAAGCAATCCAAAGCTAGCCAAATTCAATAAAAGCTCCTTATCTCCATTTTAGGATGAATGTCATTAGCTCAGAGAAGATTAATTTCTACATTCATATTTCAATTTCTTTCCTTGCAAAGAATAAAACTGAGAGTTTTTGAAATACAATCTTCTTGCTTAATCAAATGTTGAGAGTCTCATATTAACATAAATGGAATAATTAATAAATTGTGGAGACTTCCCAAACAAAAAAGTTGTGGTCCTAGATAAGTTTCATCAATGCTTATACGTAAATCCTCCTTTAAGATAGGACGTCCGAGCCATGGGAGAGACATGTTCGTCACTCATCTTTAAAGAGAAGTGAAAAGCAACATAAAGATTAGTCATGTACACAGTAGGTATTCTATAATTATCCATTGATTGTATACATTAAATTTAATCCATAGAGGAGAAAAGGGTCTAAGTAATAAACCTCCTGAGAAAATTGTAGGCAAGGGAAACAATTCCCTCCTTAAAGTACGATTATAAAAGGCGGCTCCTACAAACTGCTGCGGAAACTAATATTAGCCACACATTAAAAACTTAATACACCAAACCCAATTTACACTCGCCATCAGACATAAGTCCATTTTCTGTGCAAGAAAATGAGGCTCTCACTCAATATCTTATCATTATGAATTGTGTTACAGAAACAGTTTTCATTACCCGTTTTAAACAAATGTTCAAATTAACAAGCTTTCCATAACTATATAGCAAAACAGTCTATTGCCCAGAGATATGACAAAATGAATCATTAAGAAAACATCTGCAGATTACAGTTTCTATAAATTGCGCCTTAGAACCGAACCTGTCAATCTAGTTTTAATTCAATCTTCTAATTTTATTAATATGCATTTTCCATCTTAAAAATGCTGACTCACACATAAAAATCTCCCAAGAATATCATCATCAAGTTAGCAAAGAGGCAAAACACTTGGGGAGGAGATCAAATCTAATCTGGCCGGGTGGAAATCCCATCTTTGTCGATTATTAGCTGTACAACCTTAGCAAGTTTTTAACCTCATCTTGCCTGTTTCCTTGCTTTGCAAAATGACAATGCTGCACTAAAAATGGCAGGATTTGGCAACCGATTGAATACGACACATATGAGAGGCATTAAAGATAGTCTGGAGGCATCTCAGCTGGTTATGTAGGGGGAGCTAAGAGGAAGAGAAGGTTTGAAGCCACTCAGGGATGACAAGTGCTATTTGAGCCAAGAGAGTCAGAGACGCCCATAAAAGGACAGTCAACAGACAACCAGGAATGTGGGTTCAGCCACAAAGAAAGAGATTTTGAGATTATCCACACAGAGATTACTGGAAATCTTAGGTATGAGTAACATCCACACTTGTTTTCAAAATATTTTATAAATATCATTATATTTCAAAACACATCCAAATAAGGATAAAGCAGAAAGGTAAGCAAATACATTTCAATCACTTACAAACTTTTCAAATTAAAATCTGAACTCTCCTAACACATGATTGATAGGATACTGATTATTACACGTCTCTGATTTGTCTATGGATTTGAATCATGAGAGCAGTTAACCCCCTGGAATTATGATGATAGCAATAAAATCTTATATAGCACTGACCGCATGTTATTATCCTTCCATGTAATTCTTCTCCATTAAAATACCTTAATTATAAGGTGACAGACCCATTTTCAGGACAATCAGAAAGATGTGTGATCCAGCTTTAACCTTAACCTCAAATCTATTTGGTAAAGCTTCAATTGTGCTCCTGGTCCTTGGCAATCTTGTAGCAACAAGAATGTGAACACTGAAGTTTTGCCAGATTCTTCTTGTTTTGCTCTTTCTAGGCAATCTCAGTGACATCTGTACTTCCTTTTATATTTACTATCAACTTGTTTCATTTCTAACGAACTAGACTTAGTACCCTCTCCTCTTCCAATACTATAAACCTCCCCTCTGATCAAAGCTTCTATCCAACAACAAAAACCAGTAGAGCACTTCCTCCTACCAAAACAACTCACCGAGTAAGAGAAGGATTACTCATCCATTCACCAAAGAAGGTGCTTGGATTAGTTCTCCAAATTCCCTTTAGCTCTCTGTTGGATCACAGAAACGCCCCCGTGTGGCCACACCACCCAAAGGATTACCACAGGTCTGCACAGGCCAAGCCACACACACAGCCACATCATTCTCAATCGTTTTACCCAGTTTCATTTTCTCAAAACCACTCCTCCAGAACCAAACGGCTGTTTAAAAAGTTTATTTTGACTTCTTACTTTTAGCTCTCCTTTATTTAAAATTGCTTTATTGTCTGTCCCTTCCCCTCCCTTCACCCCAGCCCCAGTATGTAAACGCCACCTTTGGTAATGTCTCCAGTGCAAACATTCTGTCTTACAGACACAGTATACAATCCCCTACCACAAAGCGGTGGCTAAAGAAATGCTTATAATACAAATCCATGATGAAGAAGCCAATTAGTTCAGTAAGTCCAAATCTCCACGAAAATCTGAAAGATAAGTCCTCTCAGCTGTGCTCCGGCCTGAGCAGAATAATCAGCTGGCTTCCAGAATTCCCTTAAGAAGGACCCTTAGACCTGGAATGCTAGTGTGTCAGCACATTTAAGAAAATAATGGGGAAAATGAAGACCAAAGACCAACTTGAACTTTACATTTCTTTGCTCTCATTAGCCAATCCCCAAACCACAGGAGTATAAAACAAAAATGATCCTTTCATGTAAAAAGGTTGGAATATTAACCTTTACTGAGTCTATTACCACAGATCACTGAGGAGCTCTCATCCACGTTTAGGGCTAATTTTACTAGGGTTTTTTTCACCATAAAAACCAACTTTGATAGTTTTTGAAAATGAAACCAATTTTCGTTTCTTAAACTCTAAGTCACTCTCAATTTCTACCTTTAGCATCTGAAAATTACAAATTAATTCCCTTCTAGAATGTAAGTTCTAAGAAGAAAGAGGGCTCACTTGTCTTCCACAGCTGTATCCATGGTGCCTAACACATGTGGTTGACGATCAATAAATATTTGTTGAAGGAAAGAATAAACATACATTCCAACTGACATAACATTGAAAGAATCTGGCAAATAAGCATCTGGGAGAACTTGGAAAGGAAGAGAAAAGAGGAACAATTACTAGCTCAAGTACATCATTGCTTACTCCTAAAAGAGCATAGAAAACCAAAAAATTGAAGTACTGAGCCTGCCTCTATCTTGCATGCTCAAACTTTGCCACAGCTGCCTGGGCAAGGCCAGTTAGCAGATGCTCTTTTATATTTAGCAGGAAACAGCTGCTCTCCAAGGTTGCAGGCAAAGACCACACCTGCATATCCATCTAGTGTCCAGATCTGCGCTGTCCAATATGGTAGCCCACTAGCCACATGTGTCTACTGAGCACCTGAAATGTGGCTAGCGTGAAATGAGATGTGCTGAAGGGGTGAAATACAAACTGGATTTGTGAAGGTTAGGACAAAAAAAAGAATGTAAAATATCCCATTGATAATGGTTTCATATTAATTACATGTTGAAATGAAAATACTTTGGATATACTGGGGTAAACAAAGTATATTATTAAAATTAATTTCACCCATTTCTTTTTACTTTGCTTAAGGTGACTTAGAAAATTTAAAAATATTTATTTGGCTCACATTATATTTCTAGTGGACAGTGCTAATCCAGATTGACAATAAGAGCGTCTGTATGCTACCAGAAGGAATGTTCGCTGAGTAACATGAGATCTGATTCTGAATTTCTCAGTCAATAACTAGTGAAACTGGTTAGATTTTCTACCATGTACCAATGTACAGTTTCCCTTAAAGACTCACAACAGCACTGGGAGATAAACAAATTAGTTTTGATTTACAAACCAGGAAACTGGGGCCCAAGAAGGAGAGGGACCTATGCCAAGTTACAGGGCTGGTAAACGCGAGGGCAAAACAACGAACTCAGGTCAGCTTGACTTCAAAATGTGCATTCTTCCCCTTTCTCTTTAAATGTGTGTTCTTCCCCTTTCTCTCCAACAGTCACTCAGAGGCAATTTTCCCTGTGTTCTAAGAGGCTTAAAAAAGGATGCCAACTACCTTTCCTGACTTATCCTGTGATCGGCTTCCCTTTGACACTCCATGCCCTTCAACCATATTTCTCCCAGCCACTAAACCACAGAAAAGAGAACTTGGTGAAATGGTGACTGAAAAACTCGGAAAAGTTACCATAGAGTCACATCCCATATGCTCTCTCCTAAAAGAATAAAGTTTTCCTAATTGGGCGTTTTTGCCTTTGCAATTCAAAGTTTTCCACTGTATTTGTCACTGTTAGAATAACCCACAGCATTGCAATTTACCTAGTGGGAAACTATCTGTGAATTCACTAATTTGGGCAAGCGTATGTCACCCGTTATGACTTAGCTTACTTAGTTTCTTGGCGGCCTCCAAAGCTTCATTCGCAGTGTCTGCTACAAAGAATCTTTGAACTTTCACTCCGTTGTCAGACATCAGTTTCTTGCTCTGGTATTCCTGCAGATTCAGCCATCTTCTGGGGGTTAATTGAACTGCCTAGAGAAATTGGGGAAGACAGGTACGAACACTTATAAATAACAAGAAAAATAACAGTCAACCTTATGGCCAGTCTCATAGGTACTCTCAAATGGCAATCAGCAATGCAGGTTTTGGAGGCAAGAGAAAGAAAATCTATATAAATTCTTCATGCTTAATTGTTTTGGGTTTTTTTTTTTTTGAGGAAGATTAGCCTGAGCTAACATCTGCCACCAATTCTCCTCTTTTTGCTGAGGAAGACTGGCCCTGAGCTAACATTCGTGCCCATCTTCCTCTACTTTATATGTGGGACGCCTACCGCAGCATGGCATGCCAAGCAGTGCCATGTCCACACCAGGATCTGAACTGGCAAACCCTAGGACGCCGAAGCGGAACGTGGAAACTTAACCACTGCGCCACCTCACAGGCACCCTTAATTGTTTTTTTAATCAAAAATGTTAAGGACAACTACACACACACACACGCACAAGAGTGCAGGTTTAAAAAAATGGTGAGAACTGAATAAAGTCTATAGGCTAGTTAATGGGAATGTACCAATATCAATTTCTTAGTTTTGATACTGTACTAAAACTATATAAGATGTCAAACCTAGCGTGAAGTGTGCACGGGACTGTTGAACTATTTTTGCAGCTCCCTGTGAGTTCATAAGTACTTCAAAATAAAAAAATTATTTGAAAAAATTTTAAGGACTCTATCATATAGCACTACCTCCTCCCATCCCCACCCAAAGTAAATAAAGCTCGCAGCTTTATTTTAATAACTGTATGCCCACCATTAACCATTGTAAGGTATCTCAGGAAGCTTTTTTTTTTTAACGCTTTGAGGTCAACAGGCCACAGACTAATCCATTTCTTTACCGTAGCTTTTAATGGAGTCTAGGCACAGTCATTAAGTGTTTAATGAGATTATCTCTAACCAAAGTTGAGTGCAGCAACCTGAAAGAGTCACCATTAACTAAACTAATTCTCCAAAACTGCAACTTGTGTATTAAAGTAACCTTGCTTAAGTATCATGTAGAAGTGGTTTTCCAATATGCACTATCAATTAGTTTTTATCTGTGCTGAAAGAAAATAATCAAAGGGCAGAACCACATGAACAAATAAACTCTTCTCATTTTATCCAATACGATCAACAGCATTCCATATCAAATCCATAAGCTCCATTTTATTTTTTTAATTATTTTTTTCATTTTTATTTTTTAAAGGTTTTATTTTTTTCCTTTTTCTCCCAAAGCCCCCCGGTACATAGTTGTGTATTTTTTAGTTGTGGGTCCTTCCAGCTGTGGCATGCGGCATGCTGCCCCAGCATGGCCTGATGAGCGGTGCCATGTCTGCACCCACGATTCAAGCTAGCAAAACCCTCAGCTGCCGAAGCAGAGCACGCGAACTTAACCACTCGGCCACAGGGCCAGCCCCTTTAAGCTCCATTTTAAAGGGAAGAAATGAATACACTTAATTTAAGCACGTTTCCATCCATGAGTCATGATGCAAAGGAACCAGTACTCACAGGAGGTAGAATGATGATGCCATTAATGCACAAACCAACCAAAAAAATCAGTCACACAACTGGATCACAAGACTGGTGGTGGAAGGTCACCTGGCACAACTCCTAGCGGCTTCTGTTAGTGGCCGGGGAGGACATCCAAGGCAGTATCACACAGACCATAAAGTGAGGTCCACAAGGACCCATTAGCTTTCAGGACTTCTAAAGGGTCTTTCAAGTGGCATTTTCCTCTGGAATCTCCAAGCTACCACGCCTTCATGGAGCTCTTTTGGATAAGGGGCATTTCAAAGAGGCTCCAGAACCTTACAACTAGACTGGGTTCTACTCAAGGGCAGAGTCTGTCTTCAACTTCTTTGTATCATGATGAAGAATGTGACAGTGCTTGGCATATGGAAGATACTCAAAAAATACCAATTATATGGCCAAATGAATAAACCTTGTCTTTGGTCCTATTGTCCCATGATACAGACAATTTTTCATTCCCAGAAACTGACCTTCCCTAAAAATAGAAAAGTAAAAGTCCTTCAGACTTGAAATAAACATAATATAATTTACACACACTTGTAAAAAATTGAAATTTCGACATGAGCAAGTCTAAAGATATCTCTCTGTTCCATCATTGTAAACACTGGTAACGATGTACTTAATATTGAAGTTGCCTGCAAGTCTCCTTTAGAAATAAATGATAGTGGGGTAAAAATAAATTGCCAGACAAGCAATGCTTATATCATTTACTGTATATGACTTATTAACAGTATATGATTTATTAATCTTCTGAATTTTTAAGTCTTAATGAAACATCAGTAATTTGAAAAATACAAAATTTCAAAAATGAACCAATTCTTTGTCTTAACAGTCTTACTAGCACTTCACACAAACTACAAAGAAAACTTCATGTATAAGGCATATAGTAAAAGGCCTCTGATGAAAGAAAAGAGTATATGGTAGCTATATACCATATTCTGGGACCACTTTTAAAAGGAAAATGGGAAGGATTAACAGAGTAAGTCTATGTTGACATAGCAATTTAAAGCCATTAGTAGAAAAAGGAAAAAAAAATACACTTTGGAAAAAGCATTTGGGAGAAACTAAAAACAGCCACAGTGTGGTTGTGGTTGTGGTCAATTCCTTTTCATCAGAACACTCACTGTATTAATTTTAGATATGTTAATGCAATCTGCTGCAAACTAATTGCAATTGATCCAGAGACCAACTTTGCAGACATGTAATACATATTGACTGTTTCTGCACTGACTCAAATGGAAGCCTGCTTAAAGTCTGTTGCTCTTAACCTGAAAACCAACACAGTGAACAGAGTTGCAAAGCCACTGCTGATCTCTAAGCTATCACTCCACAAAGCGATCAGCTTACAGAATAATCACCTATCTTTGTCATTCCCAAACTCGGAAGAGCAGGGTACGTGATGGGTCTAAAACTTCATTAACTCAACTTCATTTATTAGGAATTTGTGATACGTCTAGAGAGGAGCAACTTAAGTGCACATTTGCATTTTCAGGGGACAGGAAAAAGGAGAGCAGAAATTTCCTAAGCAAATGGATACTGTAAAGTATGCTGGAAATGTAATTAACTGCTGAATAATAACAACAACAATAATAATAATAATTCCATCTACTATTGACTGAGCATTTACCACGCTAGCCTTATACTAAGTACTCATGTTCTCTAACGGTCAAAACAATCATGAAAGTCAAGTATTATTTTCTTTCTATGTAGCTATCATTAAGGCAAACCAACAAATATTCCTAACCTGCCTCCTCCCAGGCACTTCCTTGCTTTAGCTGAAGTTAGGGGAGGCTGTGTAACTAGTTCCAGCTAGTAAGTTGTGAGAACATATGATGTGTGACACACCTGGGCCAACATTTGATTGCCAACCCTCCCATCCATCCAAGTTCTCTCTCTCGACTTGGGAAATGCTAATATTCAAGATGGCAGCTGATCTATCAGCCAGGGGCCAGAGGGAGGACCAACACATCCCCAGGTAACTCACCATGAAATGTGCAGTGAAAAAAAAACCTATGTGGATTTTTAGCCCCTGAGATTCTAGGCTTTATTTATTACTATTGCAGAACTGGCCTATCTATAGCACCTAGCCTGTCCTGATTAATAAACCATCTTACGAATTACAAACCCAGGGTGAAGGTTATGTCTCTGGCCCAAGATCACAGGTGGCCCTAAAACAGCAAGCTTCTCTGATCACCAGTATTGATGGACTGTGTGATATTGTTGGTTCCCCATGTTTATATTCTGGCCCCACATTCCCAGAGGCCCCCGACTGGGATGAATAAGATCACATTCCTGTCTTCAAAAGAACAAAAGTCTACTAGGAATAGGACTCTCACAAAATGTTGGCACAGCACTTGTAAGGAAAAATGTAACTGCTCCAGGCAGGCTTTGGGAGGGAGAGGTGGAGATGTGAGTAGGTGCTGTCCTAACACAAGTGAATGGTAGAAGTACCAGTTTATTTTAACTCTTAGGAAGACCTACCTATTAAAACCCTCGACTAACACCTTCATTGCGGAAGTCAGAAATCTCCCAGGGAATACCTAACTCAGGAACGTGAGCAATGGAAGGGAGGTTAAAGATCATCTGACCCAGTGCCTTTGGATTGTTCCTGTCAGTTATTTGCCTGCTTGCCTTCAGGTCAGTCCCCACGCTCTTTGCTTACTGGGCTCTGTCTGAATTTGAGACTCTGTTCAGAGAGTGGACAGCGAGAAGGAGACACCAGGCTTTGCCCTCCTCTCTTTGAGTTAGGCAGCAAGTCCAGCATGACTGCCTCTCCTCTGACACTTCAGGTCCTTCCAAACAGCCCTTTCTTCCATAATTCCAGCACCCGCTATCTCCCCCACCATGACTCCTGCACCCATCAGCTGGCCTTGGACTCTGATAATACCACCTCCTTCCACTCCTCAGCCTGCTAGAAGATTCCCGCCATTGCCAATCTCTGGGCTGCCTCCCCAGTCTGTTTGCCTTCTGATGGTTCTAACACCATTGTAACTAATTGTCTTCTCTTAAATTCTATTAAACAACCTGGTATTCTACAGAGCTGAAGGACCCCTTCAAGGCACAGGAGCGGAAGTGGAATGGCAGTGGACCACTTACAAAGCCGACTTTGGGACTCTACTCTGCAGTACTTTCCCAGGCAGTTACACGTTTCATGTATTGAGGTTCTAAGGTATGAAAGGACTACAGGGGTTCAACCTCCTCATTTTAAAGTCAGGAACTTTGAGGCCTAAAGAGGGGAAGTAATGTGCCTAGGGATCCTATAGTGAGCCAGAGGGAGGAAGAGAACTGGACTCATTCTAATTTTCTTTCCTTGTTTCATACGGATTTTGGCAAAGTGGCCATATTAGGAAGAGCATCATGTTCTCAAAACAGTTGGGTGGAGGGGCACCTGGGTTTAGTTCCCGTGGAACTTGTACACTGACTGTTCCATTGCTCCCTTCCCTTGCAAGTTTCTTTGACAGAGCAACCCTTTC